TAAGACTAGCCGTTCGCCCGCCGCTACGCGGTGGAGTGGGCATGGTTTTGTTGTAGATGAGGTGACCGCAATTTTAAGTGCTTCTTGGTGTCGCGTGTTTTGAGAGCGTGGTTTCACCCCGTAGATCTTGGGCATCGTGTATTTTAACCACTTGCTTTCGGTAGTCTCATTTCAGCCCCGTCTATTATCGTGGTTTGGAACGCTTCCGTTACCCCGTACTACAGATTAGATCTCATGTTTCTACAGTGGCGGGCGCTCTTCCGTGATCTTCCTGGCTTCGTGGTTTCCCTGCTCACCGGTGGCACACGCTGCTTAGTAGTTTAAGAGCTCTCTCTTTTGGGTTTCATGTTTTTTTTAGTACTGCGTGCGTGGCTGCTAAACTATTTACCTGCTTCTCAAAACGTTTTGGTGGGCTGCCACCGGCTTTCCGATAAATCAGTTTTTTTCGGGACTTTTCGTCTCACATAGGTGGGTACTCGAGCCGAAGGGTGCTTTTCCGTGGTTTGGAGCCTCCACGCAGTCGTGTTGTTCCAGCACCCGTGTATCGGGCTCGTTTGGTGAGGCTCCATCGACCGCGTTATAACGCCATCGTGTAATTGCGATATGGTTTTGCTGTCTATGGTATTGTGCTCGCGGATTACATCTGCATTGCCCATGTTATCGCGCTCTACAACGGCATCGTCCTCCACAAATCGTGGTCACCACGAGCCCCCTTCCATTTCGTGGCTGGTCTGCCGTCCGTGCAATCGAATTCTAATGCGCTATTGTTCTCCCGTGGCACGGTAAGCTCAGGTTCTACGCTGATATAGTGCTCCGTGGCTCGGTGATTTCGCGTCTACAGCTCCAGTGGCCGCATTTCTATCATGGCTTAGTGTCTTGGCCACCGTCCAAGTCATCGTTTTATTTTGTGGTGTCAGCGCTGGTCGTCGACTGAAGCGAAACGTGCCAATCGGGACTTCAAGGATGTCGGAGGAACGGGAGGGAAGTCGACGACGGTCGTTGGTTCCGTTACGACGGACGAGGACGAGCGTAAGGGTTGTACGGAGATGTCGGAGGACGCGCTGGAGAACGAGTTCGTGCAGAACGTTTGTGTCGGACTCGAAGAGGACGTCGTGCCAATCTCGGAACTCCCTGCGGAGGAGAAGGGAACGTTACCATTTCGATGGCGTTCCATAATTCGTAAACGAGTGTACGAACTCCTCAAACAAGAGCAGAACGCTACGAAGGACCGTCAATCTGACGTTCCTGAGAGCGGGGGAAACGGTGATGCTGAAGACGACATCCCACCTTTGCGCGACAAAGAGGACGGAACTCAATTGGACGAGGACTCGTTCCGAGGATACCTCGTCGAAATGGGTGGAACGCTGGCTGAGACGTTCCAAAACCGAGCGTTGGCCTGGGCGCGAGACTATTTCGGGACAGAAGCTTCCGTTATTCGCGACAAGTTGTGCGACAGACGGGACGAGACGTCAAAAATAGTGACTGCGACCGTTGGGACAAGTTCCCGGAAGAGGGTGACTTTCGGTGCGACTATCAAGGACGGAGATCCCAAAATAGGAGAAGAGGAGCCCGAGGTTTATTCCTTAAACGTGAGAAGAGCTCTTAAGCCGCGGAGAAGCCCTGGGCTCGCGAAGTGAGCGGCGATAACGTCTTCGACGACGGTGAAAGTGTCGTGCCGGAGGGCAAGCGTGTCATCTGCAGCGTTGGTGGAGTGCAAGCGCTGTCGGACGGCTTCATCGATTGCTGCCCGTCCGAAATGCTGGCTGATACAGATGCGGCTGCCAGTCTCGTCGACAAGCGTGTGCTGAAGCGTCTCGGACGAGCCTCCGAACCGCTACGACCTTATACTGGGGGCTTGGATAGTGTCTCGGGACACAAGATTCGCGTTAGTGGGGTTATCGACTTGCCCGTCACGCTTGGAACGCTGGAGAAGACGCTTCCTTTCGTCGTGACCGATCATTTGTTCGTGGACGCAATTCTCGGGAACGGACTCGCTAAAGGCGTTCCGTGCGGTGATTGACCTCGAAGAGCAGTCCATGACACTGAAGGAGACGGGAGACGTGATTCCGTTGGGTGCGACAAGGGTCGAAGAAACCTACGCGGCTACGATATCGTCGACGGTGCGTTTAGAACCCGGACGTCAGGCCTTACTGAGATCGAGCGTTCGCGGAACGATGAAGGGCCACTCAGCTGTGTTGGTCGAGGGCGTTCCCGGAACGGACGAGGCTTTGAGAGTCGCGAGGACGTTGTGTACCGTGACGGATGGAACGGTGTTGGTCGAGATGTGTATAATTCCGCGGAAGAAGTCGAGATTAAGTCTGGCGCGTACGTCGCTGCTGTAACCATCGTTCCCAAGTCGGCGTTCGCAACCAGAGCCTCTAAGTCAGATGAAACGACGAGGAACGTAAGCGCAGTGCTGAGTACGGCGAAGGGGAACGTGACGGCTGAAGCTGGAACGATCGAGGCTGAGATGAGTGCCGCCTTGAGCGACAGCGAGGAAGACGACTTCGAAGTGATCTTCGAAGACTCGTCACTCGGAGCAGAACAGAGGGGTCTCTTCGCGAAGATGTTGAAGGACCTGAGGGACTTATTCGTCGAAACTTCAAAGAAACCCGGAAGGACGGACCTGCTACGATTCAGTATAGACACCGGAGACCACACGCCTATTAAACAGCCTCCGTACAGAGTGTCGAAAGCTGAAGGAGATGTCATGGAAGCAGAGATTCAAGAATACCTGGACCTCGGACTTATCAGACCGTCGACAAGTCCGTGGGCCAGTCCAGTGCTGATGATACGGAAGCCTGATGGAGGCGTAAGATTCTGCATCGATTATCGGAAACTAAACGCTGTGACCGTGAAGGACATTTATCCAATGCTTTGAGCGACGACATCCTGGACGTTCGGGGGAACGCGAAGCTTTTCTCCACTTTGGACATCGCTTCGGGATATTGGAACGTTCCAATGGATCTCGACAGCGTGGAGAAGACGGCTTTCACGAGCAAATTCGGCCTCTACGAGTGGTTGGTTATGCCGCTTGGCTTCTGTAACGCCGTGCCTGCATTCGAGCGTCTGACGGAGAACGTTCTCGTTGATCTCAAGTGGAGGACGTGTCTCGTCTACTTAGACGACTGTGTTGTCTTCAGTGACGACTTTGAGACACATTTGATTTGAGTACGCCAGGTCCTGGAACGTTTCCGAGCGGCAGGGTTCAAGTTAAAGATGAAGAAGTGCCATTGGGGACGTGACCAAGTGGCGTTCCTAGGGCATATCGTGACTCCGACTGGAATCCTACCGAACCCTGAGAAGGCAAAAGCAGTGATGAACATTGAGAGACCGCATGACTTGCACACGGTTAGAGCATTCCTGGGTCTGACAAGCTACTTTCGACGCTACATACCGGGATTCGCTGCGCTTTCTGCGCCGCTGGAACGCTTCAAGCAGAAGGACGTCGATTTCAGATGGAACGACAACTTCAGATGGAACGACGACTGTGCGGGGCGCGTTCCGACAACTACAACGAGCGTTAGTGAAACCACCGATACTGGTGTATCCAGACGTCAAGAAAAGGTTTAAGCTCTATGTAGATTCGTCACACTTAGGGGTGGGAGCATGTCTGATGCAAGAGGTCGACAAGAGAGACAGGGCGATTGCGTACGCGAGTAAGATGCTGGTTGGATCGCAACGGAACTGGGTTAACAAGACAAGTGGAACGACAGAAACTGAGTGCTGGGGAATCGTATGGTCGACACGCAAGTTCCGGTGTTATCTGAGTCACGCGGAATTTGATCTGTTCACAGACCATCAAGCTCTCACGTGGATCTTCGGCGAGACAACACGAACGTCAAACGCCCAGTTGGCACGATGGGCCATGGAGCTGTCGCAGCTACGGTTTAAGATATACCATAAGCCTGGAACGTCGATGGGACACGCCGATGGTTTGTCGAGACTGTATCACCGACCGGATGCTGGTATTGTTAGCGCCATCAGGATGGCGGACCTTCTCAATGACACTGAGGAAGAGACTCCTGA